GAGCTGCAGAGACAACGCGCTTCGGCCCTGTTGTGTGTTCTTCCATGGCCTGGTGCCTCGCCTCCCAGCGCTCCCAATTTTCGGCGACTTTGATGCGCTCTTTGCCTCTGGCGCCAAGGCCTTTGGACCACTCTTCGGCAGCCGCAGGGCCACGGCTGAGGGCGTCGTTGAGCTCGAGGGTGATTTCGTCGACGTGCTTCTTGTAGTAGTACTTTGCGATCTCGACGTGGGCTGGCGTGGTCGCAGACTGCAGCATGTAAGCGGGCACGTAGTGCTGGTCGTTTGTGAGGAGGGCGAAGGGCAGGGCAGGGCGTAGAGCAGAGGCTGCCGAAAAGAGAAGGCTCGCGTCCTGGGAAGTCAGTGGCGACTCTTGTGAGCGGCGGGAGCTACTCTATACTCACTGTCTGGCACTGCTCGACTAGACAGGGTCCGCAGGCCCTGATGGCAAAGGGCCAGATGACGCGCACACCAGCAGGACCAGGGCCCTTTTGCCAGATGCGCTCGCCTGGAGAGTGAGCATCAAGCTTGTTACAAAACTGGCACCTCTTGGACCAGGCCAGCTGCCACATCTGCAGCTCCGTAAAGCCCGGGAGAGGCTTTGGGGGCTTTGTACATAGTGCATTGCGGGCAGAGGCCCACAACGATTCAGACTTTAGGAGATGCAGACGGCCAGCGCCCGACTTTGAAGTCGAGGCGCTGCGCACGTCTGTGAGATAGCAATGAAAAGATCGATTGACCTGGATCAATCGACCGAGATCTGCGAGCGAACAAAAGGAGAAGATGTACTGCCACAGCTGTGGTGGCAAGCCTGCGCAGCCGGGCAGAGAGCCGGACAGCAGCAGCGAAGGGGATGAGGCGCGGCGATTGCGCTTGCGGGCATGGGCATGGGCTTGGGCATGGTGGTGGTGAAGGTGGTGGTGAGCGGGAGCATTCTCCTCGTCGACATCATCATCTGCCTTGCGCTTTCCCAGCGGCGGCGGCAGGACATCGCCATCGGCCTGGGGGTTGGCCGGGGGCGGGTTTGGGATTGCGTCGGAGGAGTAGAAGTCGACCGACGACCCTACGCTCGACTCGCGGTCCTCCATGGTGTGCTACAGCCGTCGACGTGCATGCCAACCTAGACGAGCGCCATGGTGGATGGGGGGGTGATGGGGGTTGTTGGGGCAGGCTAGAGACATAAAGGCACGCAGCAGGCGGGAACAGCAGCGCGCAGCGCGCGTGGAGCAGCGTGGTTGGGAAAAAGCGGTGCGGCGGGTGTGTTGTCGGGGGCTAGGTGGAGGGTTGTCGTGGCAGAGTGGAGGTGAATGGGCCGGCTAGAACGCAGCTAAGCAGGCGAAAGTGGCTGTCGAGGGCGCGAGGCTGCCGTTGCCGCCTGCACGCAATTGCCAGCAACGTTCCCCGGCTGGCCCATTGTGACTGCACAGACACCAAGTGAGAACGCCTCAGCCTGCCAAGCCATATGACATAGCAACACACGGCCCTGGCACCCAAGCCCAATGGACCATACGCTTGCGGGATACATACGCGTACAGACTCTGAGCTGTCCACCACCATTGTGCTACTAGCTGCCGCTGCGCTCCTTGTGCTTCTTCTGCTTCTTCTTTTCCTCTTTTCCTCTTCTTCTTCCTCCTCCTCCACCTCCTCCACAAGCTCAGCCCACCCCTCTTTTCCCCTCCTCTCTCTTCCCCCCCTCTCCCCTTCCCCTCCCCCCTCCACACTCCGCCCATCATGGCCACGCTCAACACCTCCAGCAACGGCCCAAACATCACAAAGAGCTACCAGAATGTCGTCAATTCCCCTGCTCCAACCGGCCCCCAGGCCAGCTCGCCCACATATGGTCAATGGGCTGTCTTCACAGTAGCTGCCCCGCTCGTCAGCGCCTTCCAGCACGACAGCGGAAAAGAGAGTGTCCTCAAGGTCCAAAGTACTGGAGGTATGTGCCGTGGTCTGAATTCCTCAATTGCTCCCTCCTATGTCCGCAGCCCGGGTGCCCAAGATTGGCAGCTGCCTGACCGCTGCTGAGCCGTCAGCCCAAGCTCGGATAATCGGCGCCTCATCCAGCACCACCCGTGCCAGGAACCCGCTGTCACCAAAAGCTCAATTGCTAATTTTCTTTGCAGAGGGTGAACTGACCGATCTGGTCGATGAGTTCTCAGAGGGCCGCATCCAATTTGCCTTTGTCAAGGTCAAGGACCCAAATTCGTCACTGCCTAAGAATGTCCTGATAGCTTGGGTAAGTTGGGCGCCGAGACTGCGGGAAACACATTACTAACGCACACGCAGTGCGGTCAAGGCGTCCCGGAGCGGACAAAGGGCTACTTTGGCAGCCACCTTACGGTTGTCTCAAAGCTTTTGCATGTATGCCTGACCATCCCCGAGCTTTTACCGCTAGACGTCTAATTATTCTAGGGATACCACGTCCAAGTCACTGCTCGCTCTGAGGACGACCTCAGCCCAGAGAAGATTGTCCAAAAGGTTGCAGACGCATCCGGCGCAAAGTACTCTGGAGGCGGCGCCATCCCTTCGTCTCGCCCCCCACCTCCCGTTGCGAAGAAGCCTGTATTCACACCCACATCGATAGGAGGCGCAGGCTCCGGCTTCAACCCGCTGGGACGCTCGCGCGCGCCCGCTCCCAAGGCTGATGAAGACCGTGATGGCTGGGGCGCCGATGCCCCGCCCGTCTCCAGGTCGCAATTAGAGAAGGTGGGCACTGCCTACACGCCCACCAAGGTCAACATGGCCGAGCTTACCGCGAGGAAAGACGAGTCTTCGTCAAACGACCGCCCCGAGGTTGTCAAGGGTGCTTACCAGCCAGTTGGAAAGGTTGATATTGCCGCTATCCGAGCTCAAGCAAGGGATGCCAAAGACGACCGACCGACTGTAGTCAAGGGCGCGTACGAGCCCGTCGGCAAGGTTGACATCGCAGCCATTCGTGCAAAGGCCCAAGCTGCTCCCCCATCTCCTGGACCTCCCAAGGAAGAGGAAGATGAGACGCCAAAGTCACTTGCGGAAAGGTCCGCAGCCTTCAAGTCGCAGCCCGAACGCCTTACCAGCATGCCCAAACCAAAGGTTGCCAACAAGTTCGCCGGCGCCAGCGCTTTCACAGGCACAAAGGCTCCTACACCTGGAGGTTTCGGTGCAAAGCCCGCAGTCCCTGCGCCCCTTGTCGGCGCAGCGAGCAAGACATTTGCTGATGAGGGAGGAAAGACGCCTGCACAAATTTGGGCTGAGAAAAAGGCAGCCCGCGGCGAATCCATTTCAGCACCTGCTCCCGACGCTGCAAATCGCCCTAACCCCCTTCAAAGCCAGCCAAGTGGAGGTGGTGGCTGGCAAAGTGGTTACTCCGGCAAATCATGGGCGCCTGTACAGACCACCCGAACAGGCCCATCGGGTGCTGCCAACCTCGATGAGCAGCAGACGGGAGGTTCGCCACCACCACAGCAAGCAGAAGAACCAACTTCTCCTTCTGGAGGTGTAAACTCCCTCAAGGACCGCTTCTCTGGCGCTGCCCCAATGGGAGCCCCAAGTTCTCGTCCTGTGCCTGAGCCCGTGGCGGCTGATAGCCCACCACCTCTTGACAATTCGAGCAAACCCAACGCAGGCATAAGGGGTGGTGTTTCTCTGCCCGGCCTTCCCAGCCGCCCTAAGCAGCCAGAATCAGAGCCAGAAGAGGAAAAGGAGGAGGTTCCCGCAACTCAACACCAGCGTCTGCCCTCCCCGCCTCGGCGGCCCCGCAGCCCATCTCCCGAGCCTTCTGGTTCACCTGTGCGCATCGCCATGCCCGTTGCACGCGGAAGAGAGCCAGAAGAACTCTCTCCTGCAGAGGAAAAGGCACCAGCTATGCCTACTCGTTCGTTGGATCAAGCAGCCCGGCAAGCCCGTGACGTCTCACCCGAGCCCAAGGTTGAGGCCAAGGATCCCGCTCGTGGTGCCGGTGCTGCTGTTGCCGCTGCCACGTTTGGCGCTGCTGCAGTAGGTGGTGCTGCCATTGGCGCCGCTGCTGTTGCTGCTGGACACGATGACGATGAGCCGGCGGCCGCAGGTGGTTCTGGAAAGCGTGCAGTCATCCTGTACGACTATGAAAAGGCCGAAGATAACGAGGTGGAGCTACGTGATGGCGAATATGTCACCGAAATCGACATGGTAGACGAGGATTGGTGGATGGGTACCAACTCGCAAGGCGAGCGCGGTCTGTTCCCTGCCAACTACGTCGAGCTGGTTGAGGATGGTGTTGCTGGTACTGCGGCCGCACCGCCACCACCCACGCATCCCTCTGCAGTGCAGGAGCCAGAGCCTGTTGCGGCACCACAAGCTGCTGGTGGCTCAGGTCCTACCGCGACTGCTCTTTACGACTATGAGGCCGCAGAGGACAACGAACTGAGCTTCCCTGAAGGAGCTACCATTACCGGTCTGGTAAGTGATATCAGTTCTACTATTCCTACTATTCGAATATATGCTGACATGTGACGTTAGGAATTCCCCGACGAGGACTGGTGGCTCGGCAGTTTCAACGGCCAATCGGGTCTTTTCCCTGCCAATTACGTCGAGCTTAACGAGTAAGGATGCGTAGAAAACAGAAACTAGCCTCCATGTATCATTTCCATTCGCCCATGCAGGCCTATGGTTTGCTTCATGTCGATGAGCTTGATCATAAAAGCATGGGTTTTTTAGCCAGAAATAAGACCATCGATTTCGATTGCATTCCTAATTCACCTGGCTGGATACCGTGGTTCGTGAAACAATGCGCGGTAATTTTCCTCCTACACATGCGATGAGATTTCGAAAGCTGCGGCCACAATACTGATGTGTATATGATCACACTGGTACCCATGGTCGTGATTAGTGCATAGCCATATTGCGTATATTTAGGCCAATTACCAACGCCCTAATGTGTCAGATTGGTCTCGTCCACTAACCCAAACTCCACCCATCTTTGACATGATATTTGCGGTAACCACATACACAGGATTCATGGTTGGTTAGCGTGAGAATTGTTGACCATGGGCAGCTGGTCACTTGCCTCGTTCCCCCCAAAGCGTCATCCCACTAGTTCTTTGCATGATGTTTTCAGAGACATTGAAATTGGATTGCATCCCCATGTTCTTTCTCTACAACTGACCATAGCACAGATCCAACAGCAAGACGTATACAGCACACTTCCAGTCTGACATCACCTTCAAAACAAAACCCGACCTCGTCAGAGAAAGATGTTCAAGCTTGGAAACTTTGTCGGGGTCGCCACTGCTGGCGTTATAATCAGCTTGTCTGTCTTTGCCGTTTTGATGATGGTGGATCTTCTGAGACTCAACTTCTCATGTGATTATAAGACAAAATATCGCGAAGCATCTGCGGAGGTGACCAAGCTTCGATCTCGTCTTTCAGAAGTGGAGGGCGAACTCTCCGCCGCCGAAACTCAACTGCTCGAAGCCTCATGTATGGGCGACGAAACACGCAAGGCCCTCGAGGCAGCTCAAAAGGGACAGCAGGACACGGTCGAAAAGCTTGCCAGAGAGCGAGTCACATACAGCAACGCCCGCAAGGAGCTGGGCACCCTGCGCAATACGCTTAACTCGACGCTCGCCGAACTTGCCAGCACGCACAAGACAATCGAATCGCAGGCCACTGGCCTCACAACCCTCCAAGTCGAATTGCACCGCCTGCAAACCTGCCTCGACACCTCCGAAGAACAGCGCAAGCAAGAAGCCCTCATGCACCAAGCCTGGGTCCGCCACTCCCTCTCCACCAGCTCCGCCACCATGGCCAAGATGCGCAATCTCCAGGACCAAGTCACCTCGATGCGCGAGCGCTGCGAAGTCTGGTACAGCATGTACAGATCCACGCACGCCCCCATGGAGGGTCAAATCGCAGACATGTCATCCGCTATGAACCAAGCCCACGCCAAGACCCGTGAGCTCAACTCGCTCAACGAGGACCTGAAGCGCGAGGTTACAAAGCTTCAAGCTAAGCTTATGAGCATGGAAGATGATAATGCATTGCTAAGGGATGAGAAGTGGTGGCTTGAGGGCGAGTTTCAGAAGCTGAATATTGAACTTGCGGAGTGCAAGGAGAGTAATCGTAAACTGGTGGTTAAGTGGTGGAAGGCGAGTACTATGAGGGATGATTGTGTTGAGAAGGAGGAGAAGGATAAGGAGACTGAGGAGGCTATTATGGCTATGGTTGATTCGAGGTTGGATACTACGGTTGAGATGGAGTGGGATTTGGGGACTGTGGTGGGGGATCAGGGGCAGCAGGCGGAGGTCGAGAGTGATGATGACGACTATGAGGAGTATGATGATATGGAGAGTTCAGAGGGTGATGAGAAGTCTGACGACGATGAGGACAAGGTGGAGAGTCTAGATGGCAGTGAGAAGTCCGAGGCGCCCAGTCCTACCCCTGTGGTGCAGCTTTACTGGGAGACAAACATACATGGCGATGGCGACGAGAACGAGAACGATGAGGATGAGTACGAGTACGAGTATGTGGATAGCACTGTTTGTTAGGTTTGCGCAGATGATACCGGTGGTGATGTGAGTCTGAGGCTGATGATTGAGGTTTGAAGGGAGTTGAGAAGATGGGTTTTGCGTAGGATTATGGATTTTGTGGAGATTAATTGTATGCCCTCTTTTGCGTCTCAAATGATGGCACAGGTGTTTCTTGTAGGACTTAGATGTCTGTCTGGATTTCTTTGGGGTTCTTTTTGATCATTGCGTTTGTTGGTAGATGTGAGATGAGTTTATTACTGATGCTTGTGCGTTCAAAGTAAGGTAGTCATTGTAATTGATTTTTCTCCTAGACAGCTGCTTACCGGCTCAATTTGCGCTGTTATCACGAGATAAACAGTTCGTTTTCGTTTTAATTTCTCATAAGATGACTTCAGGTCCGATGTAACAAGGATTAACTTGTCTTTTATCGGCATGGCATGTCAGATCCTCAGTGATGTGACAGGCGGTGGGAAACGGCATGGAACTTGGGTAACAATGTGTCAAAAGCAGATTCGTATTCGTTTGGGGGAGATCTATGTGGGGTTTCTCTCACGTGCCCACGTCATTTTATTATGACAGACAACAAGTTGAGTATGCTGATGATTAAGATGATGCAGTTGTGACGAAGATATCGGCAGGTTGCAGTGGTTCACGATAGCGACACGTTCGAAGAGCAAATTGGGCAGTGTACGTAGTTTCCACCGCAGGAATTTTCTATTCGTCTTTATGATACATCCGTGAAAGTATGAAAGTCTTAGGCTTTTGATTCAACCTAATCATGTGCTTCTTTGTACATCTTCAGCGAGGTTTCTTCTGTCGTTTAATGCTCTGTGTTGAGGCATTCCTTCCGAATTTCATCGAGTATACTTGTCAACGAATTTTTCGCGTTCACTATCCCATATCCTCCTCACACAATCTGCAAACCGTCTTTTCCGTTTACATTTGTCTCGATCACGGTCGTCTGTATGCGCATGGTACATGCAGCAATTGATGTAGTCAAGACCACCTAAGCCTGACCTCTTCGCCAACAAAACACTGTACTTTTCTATGAGGCCAACCAGAAATGTACGTGGCAGATTCTCTTTGAACCACCCAGTGGTAATACGATCCATGTAGCTTCCTTTGCATACCATATAGCGGCAATGCGCATCAATGAAGAATGTACAAATGAGATGCTCGTCTAACAAGTTCTCGAAAGCATACTTGCTAGCATAGAGAAAAGTAGGGTTGCGTATTTCGTCTCGATCAAAGATGGAGTCAACGATGTGGTTTTGTGCAGCTTTGCAAAAATCGGGGACCAGAAACCTATTACCAAATACAACCGCTTTTGTCAGAACAGTGATGTATGGATCGTCGTCATGTTCGTCGCTTGGGTAGGTCTCGAGCATGTGGTCGACTTCTTCTTCTGTTGCAATCTTCTGAGTGTATAGCCAGTGAACGAAAACCCCAAAAGTCTTCGGGTCGATATCGTTGAGGGTAATTGAGTTTTCTTCTGCCTCCTTCCAAGAACCATTAAGAGCGCTGGAGAAGTACTTGGAGTGGTATGTGAGCAAAGTCTTGTGTACGTCATATTGGACTTTCTCTGATCCAGCTTTTACGACGACGAAACCCTGTTTCGCGCTGGTTCTAAAGTATATTTAGAACTAAGCGTCTTCAAGTGCAAATATGAGCGAAGAATATACTCACCCGAAGAACAATGCCTTTTTTGGTGGATTGGGTTCAGTTGCTTCCGGAGTGCATGGAGTCGCCATGTTCACAACACAATCCGCTGAATCCCGCGTCTTGCCTTTGTGTAGGAGGCTTTGCGAGTAATGGAGGATGGAGGAAATGAAATCGCTCGTTGTGGTTTCAAAGCACGTAGTGCTAGCGCATTCACTTCAAGGTGAAAGTGAAAATTTGCAATGAGCAAACGCCTAGATGACTCACTACTAGTGCGGGCTAATCTTCGCAATTCTGCAGCAGATGCGTTAATTGCGAGTGAAATATATGTAGAAAGTTCAACTGAATGTTCTAGAGGACATACTCAATCATCCGTTTGTCTTACTGGACGCTATCAGGATAGAGCACTCTCATTGTGTCACTTGAATATTACTACAAACTTGGATCTGAAATACTTTAAATGAGTATGAAAGATAAAAAAAATCCTATTACCTAAGTAGGTTGAAAAATGTGGGAAACTTTACGCTTATTCCATTCACCAGAGACTGCTACGTTGCTCGTATCCCGCTTCTCCCTTAGACACCATGCATTCCCTGAATAGCGACTATTGCATATGTTTTTATCAACTGCCGCGCGTCCTGTAAAACCTCCGTCGAGAATGCCGACATAAACAGCGACGCGGTGTTCTGTTTTGCCCGTTGTCTCGCATATGCGCGATGCGGAGACCCGAGATTTGCGCAGGCTCACCAATCACGTGTCACCACGCCAGCACATCAATCCACCACCGACATAAAACTAGGCTGCTTCGATACAAAGAAACGCCACAGACTTCTACTTCGAGAGCAAAACAGACGTAAAGAGTAAGTCTGACAAGATGATCTCGGAGAATGAGCTGAGCAGGGATGCCGAGGAGAGCCTTGCAAAGGACGTGTTAAAAGCGTGGAGGAACCGGTTTATGGTTTTCCCCGTACGATATCAGATTCGAACATTAGTATCATAATTTCGGTTCCGTTGGCCAAGGAAACGGAGAAGAACTCAGCACCTTACTACTACTGCTTCTACCTAGAAGATCGACAAAGCCAATATATTTCCTGGTACAAATTACATTCGGACACGCCAGCTCGTATTGAACAACAAGATGAAGCAGTCGCCATTAAGAACCACTGTGCTCTTGTCTCTCCTCGGAGTCTCGACAGCACAGACAAGCACTTGGGGCGAACCGTTCACTGTCGAAGTCTCAGCCCCAGCCGCTGCTTCGACGGATGCCCCCATCCCTAGTCTTGCCTCGCCATCAGCAGCACCAACATCGACATGGGGCGATCCATTCACGGTCAGCAACAGCCCAATTGCTACTTCGCTCCCAATATCCAACGGCATATCCACAAGTATAGCTGTTGACACGCCAACGTTTGTGTCGAGCAGCACGGTTGTGAGCAGCGCGGTTGTTAGTACTACATTAGTCGTGTCGTCAGAGTCTAGCACAACAAGTGTTCAGAGTACGACCAGCACTACGGATACCTCTTCGAGCAGTGCAAGCCCAACAAATTCGCCCGAAACTTCGCAGCCTACCGGTGCTGCTGCACATGGGAGGGGGTACGGAAAGTGGACTTTTACCGGAGCAGTATTGGGCGCAGTAGGAGCCATGTTTGTTTGAGAAGATACATGAAACTTGGCGGATGAACGGAAATATGGCAGACTAATAGGAAGAATGGGTCGCGGGTAGTCGTGTATGTTGCCACACAGCTAGGATTGCCTGTACATATGTTCCCGAATCGGTGTTTCGTCCCCGCCGGGTCATTTACCCCAACACTTAATAGTAGGACCGAGAATAAAACAATGCTTTCTGGTTTCCGATAGGATAAATAAGCTGAAATGTTTCAACGCACCGAACGCACCAGCGAAACTTTGGTTATACATGAGTTCGCGGTGCACCCTGTCTTTTTAATATAGGATGCACAGCAGTCTGCCACATACAACGGAACGTGCGGGGCTCTCAACCAGGTGTATTATGACTATTTTGCATATAGATCGGAATATACTAGTCCAGATGCAATAGTATTTTACGCGTAAAAGAAGATGATTATTCCGTTTCTTATTTTGCTAAGATACGTCATGAATTCGAAGTGGAACAGTACTATGTTGGGCAGACATTGTTTGTATGGAAAACTGACAAAGCCAATATTTTTCACTTCGACAGGAACCCCTGTATATTCTGCCATATGCAGCGCACGGCTGTATGAGAAAATGCACCAGTGGATGAGAATAAGTGCTGCGGGAAATTATGTCGATCGGCAACATTATATAAAATAATAAGCCTTTGATTTCTGTCAAGCATAACTTCACCGTGACATTGACTGTCTCCTGGAAGCACAGTTTAGTTTCTCATTCCACATCTTGAAATATGAAGTACATAGTCAGCCTCGCCCTCGCGGCAGTCTCTGTTGGCAGGGTTACCGCATCACCTATCGAATTGGAGGTTCCCGTATGTTTCCGCTTCTCGAAGAAACTCTCTTCACCAAACTTAGCAAACTAACATTTGCAATAGCAAAACAACAGCAGCATCGTGCCCTACATTGACTCCAGCCTCCCAAACCACACCATTTACTTCCCAAGCGGCGTCCCTAACGCTGACTCGGGCAAATTCCCTGTCCTGATCTGGGGCAACGGCGCCTGCAGTATTGATGGCACTTCGAACCAAGTCCTCCTTAAGCACGTAGCTGCGAACGGATTCCTTGCCATCGCCGAGGGCGTCATGGCGCCAGACACAACCAACACGACGCGGGATACGGCGATGAGCATGCAAGGCCCGTCCAATGACAAGACTATGAAGCAGGCTATTGACTGGATCCATAAACATGCTGGAAAAGGCAAATACGCAAATGTGGACGCAAGCAGGCTCATGACAGCGGGCTTCTCATGTGGTGGGCTTGAGGCTGCGTATAACTTCCCTGACCCTCGAGTTGCTACTGTCGGCATTGTCAGTTCTGGCATTGCGGATGCGGATAAAACATATCTGGCATCTACGTGGAAGAAGCCAGTGCTTTACGTTCTGGGTGGCGCAGCTGACCAGGCAACCCCCAATGTGAGTTCTTCCATGTCGATATACTGTGTCAAGAAACATTTCCAGGATACATATACTACGCAGATCATCCCTTTTGCGACAGTCTTTTGTTCGCGAATACTGGCTAACATGTTGACCTACAGGGTAACCGCGACTTCAAGAACATTCCCGCCGGTACTCCCAAGTGGAAGGGAATCCTTCCTCTCGGCCATGGAGGCGACCTTTGGCACACCAACGGCGGTCTATTTGGCAAAGCTGTGCTCAACTGGGCACTGTGGAACCTCAAGGGTTCAGAGGATGCTGCTCAGTATTTCAAGAGCGGATGGCAGGCTGATGGATGGGATGAGGAGTCTGCGGACTTGAATAAGCTGAAGCCTGTCGGACGTCCTTAGAATCTATCGTCCTGAATGTATTCTCGAACTAGAGTAGTCAGTCGTTACTAAATCATTCTGTAGCTCGCTATCTATGTTTTATGTACATGAATAGGGTGGGGCCATATTACTTGCTTCGAAAAAAGCCTTAGTTTTGTTCTATTTCTAATAGTTAATGCATGGAAAACATGATAAAACGACACACATCCCCTTCTTCAGCCCTACCTAACGTCCTTCAAGCCACCACTGACGCATGGAAACTCAGAAGAATATTTTCTTTTTCATCTTCCTGCCTCGGGATACCAAAAAGTAAACAGGTTTCAATATACACAATTACGTCGTTTTCCAGCGAACAAGCAGCGTGTTCCGGCATCCTTTCTCATCCGTCGCATGCCGATTTGCAGCCTTAGTTCCACCAACAGTCCCCCCCATCACCGTCATCGTCGTCATTTCCTCGCACCAAATGTACCTTGTGCACCAAGAATCCAGTACACTTGCAGCAAAACTAATTCGGTAGTTTACCACAGCCATATTGGGACACAATAGTTAGTAGAAGCTAACCAACCTAGCTCACCGTCCGGTGTACAGACATACCACCTGATGCGTCAAAATCAAAAACATGGCAGCCACACAATGTCGCAGTGGGGAAGGAAAGCAAAGAAGGGAGAATATAAAAAAAACCCTGATGTCACTTTGAACAAAGAGCCTTCTTGGTCACACTTCAGTGCAACCTCACACCAACTCCCATTAAAAAGACAAGTCAACGTCGAAAACAAGAAGTCTAAATATAGTGTTGCACCAACGCATGCAAGCGCACAATGCTGCACATGCGCGCCCTCCAATTGTTGCTTTTGGCTCTGATCTGGATGCGGATACCCGCTTATCCTACTTAGGTGCGTTAACTATCGCATGCACACTCAGCAAAAACCCCCATGACACCCCACACGCACACACACTGTGTGGGTCGAGGGGAACCAACGCCAAACCACAGAGGCTTAGAGGCTTAGAGGGGAACGGCGTAAACCGTGGTTCTGTCGCAGTAGAAGCGCAAAGATAATGAATGATGCTGAACCTTGTTTTCACAAACGAGGTTTGTAAAAGGCGGAAAGGGAGAGAGAGGGAAGTATACGTCATTTTTGCAGTACGTAGTAGCAGGTTCGCACCTGACCTGGGGCAAGAGATTGGCGGGGTTGCGCGCTCACGCAAGTTGGGTAAAAGTCGTTGTGCGGAGGATGCGGCAAGTAGTGGGAGAGGCGCTTTTTTGATTTTGCTTGTACTACGACGGCATTGACGGAGTGCGGGTAGGGCGAAAGCTGGGCCTATGGAGAGGGGGGGGGGGGTGTAGCAAGGCGTGTTTCACGGCGGACAGGGCAGGAGAAGGTATGCGAAAGGCAAAGCATGTTAAGATTTTGTATCAGATGTAAGAATAACATACATGTAACTTGTCAAGAGTCTTGAGGGTTAGACAATGGCATGGCGAAGGCATAGAATGAGTCACGAGGCATTGACGATGGGTGTTTGAAGGAAGGTTATACAAGTTCCATATTATCATTACTGCTACCGCTGTACAAGCTCTTTGCATAGCGTTTCAACCTCGACAACATTGTACAGCCCTATTTGCTTTGCGTAACTCATCTTTGAACTAGAGGGATGTTTACAAGGGTATATGATTTTCCGTTTTCCAAAAACAGTTATCCATTGCTAATATATCGTACACGGACAAAACATAAGACAGGATATCTCAATGTGGAAAAGCAAGACGCTTAGGCGAAGTAGACCAGAGCAGCAGCAGCGCCGACAATAGCGGCGAGGGGGTTGGCGAAGAGAGAGTCAGCGCCGGAAGCGGTGACCTCGGGAACGCTGGCAGAGCCGGTGGGAGTGCGAGTAGCCGAAGGCAGAGGGGTGCGGGAGAGAGTAGCAGAGCTGATGGTGGAGTTGCCAGCGGGGGTGGAAACAGAGGCGGAGGGGGTGCTGGAAGCAGCCGAGGTCATGGAAGAGGAACCGGAAGCCGAAGAGCTAGGGGAAGCCGAAGAAGAAGCCAAAGACGAGGGCTTGACGGAAGACGAGGCGGAGGCGGAGGCAGAAGGCGAGCTGGAAGAGACGGGCTTGTCGTCGGAGGCAGCGCCACCAGTGAGAGGGAACTGAGCAGAGTAGTTGACAGTGTCGCCGCGCTTGATCTCAAGAGCATAGTCGCTCTCGTTGGGGAGATCCTTGCTGGGGGTCCACTGGAACTTTCCACCGGTAGCAGTGGCTGTAGTAGAGTCAGTATATAGAAGACGGTTCTTGTCGAGGGATGGCAAACGTACTGGTCAGAGTGCCAACGGTATCAAGGTCGGTAGACTTTCCCTGGCGGAGGATGAAGGTGGTGGGGACATCATCGGCCGGGGAGTAGGTGATGGTGTAGGAGTTGCCAGCAACGACACCCTGGGTAGGGAATTCGTTGATCTCGAGGGCAGCGACGAGAGCAGCAAAGGCCGCGGAGGAAAGGATAGCCTGGAAGAAGCGCATGGTGGAGGTTTGGAGAGAGAGAGAGGTGTTGGATTACGGGGTAATAGTATTAAGCTGAAGATGGGAGTAGTTGGAGAAGAATGAGTGACTGATCAGCGAGGGGGCGGCTTGAAGGAAGGAAGGAAAGAAAGAGGAAGAATGGGAGGCGCAGGGTGAGATGAAATAAAAGACGGGACCCGCGAGCTGACGGTATATTTTTGCGCCGGGTGCAAACGCCCTTGGAGCGGCAGAGGGAGCAAGATTTGGAGCCGGAAGCGGGCTAGACTGTCGACTAATGAGAGATGAAGCTCATGCGGCGCGGCGGTGATTGGCGGGCAGGTGGGCTGGGCTGGGAGCGTCCCCTATAATGGCTCGCCTACGTCTCGACCGAGGGCCTTGGGCCAAGAGGCAACCCTGGGCGAGTCCATGGGGTGGTGTGGGTGCGAGGGTGAATGGTGAATGCATGGCCCCCTTTGGTGTGTGACTGGCGCCGATGGTACCTGGCATCTAAGCTGCTTGCAGCCTAGCAAAAAGCAAAGCCAATAACCTGGGGAAATTCAGGGGCTATCCCGTCAAGGCCCCTCGTTGCGCAACGGCCCAACTGCATGCGGATATTAATATGCACGCCCGTTCCAGAGCCATGTCGATATATACCTGAGCACGTCGTTGGCGATGAATGCTCATTGTGAGCGCGCGACTGTTGTCATGGTCATGTGCGTCGCGTCCATCATCTTGTTAGTATATCCCTTGCCGCCATGGCCACCATAGCCACCACCACCCCTAGCACAGGCGGTCAGCTGGGGCTCCACACAAGCCTTGTCGTTCCAGATGAACGCCGGCTGTGCCAGCGAGCCCTTTGGCGCCCAGGAGCAGACGTCATGTCTCACTCATGGCCACGACCCTCACCACCGCCGTGCTGCTGCCATAGTCTTGTCGACCATGCACGCAAGTATATAATAGACCGACAAGGCGCCGGCTTCGACGAGAGCGAGAGCTTCAGGACCGGCAAGACGCCGGTGATGAGCTTACGACATATACTGTACTAGTTCATATGGACGGAGCAGATACTTCTTAGACAACGGCCCGACGCTTGGGGCTCCACCCACAAGAGATTCAATGCTGGGCACTGCCGTCTGTCTAGACGTGGAGAAGAGGGCGCGCATGCGATGTGTTTGAATGTATACCGTACTAGTAAGTAAGAACCCGAGTGGAGCATCAACAGGTTTGGGGAAATATGTACATCTCGCCGCGGGGAACCACCTGTTCGCCGTCGATAAACCCACATGGTATCGACTTTTGTCAACTGTGCAGCCATGGGGGCGTGCGTATGCCTTGCTTTGCACACCCTTGCTCCCATGGTCTGTGCTACTATCCCTCTCTTCAGACACGGCACAGCATAAACATACTACATCTTTGCCACTGCCCCATCTCACACTTTGTCCCAAAAGGCATCGAGTAACGATTTGGTATCTTATCCGATCATGTGCCCACCCAAAAGGCCGCCGTAGGCAAAGCAGGCTGTGTGTGCCGGCACATGCAGTCAAGGACCTCTGCCGCCTTGTTGCAAATACCGGCTGCTTTTGCAAAAGTGTCATCGCCGCGTCACGCACTTGTCCCCTTGCGGATTCCTGTAAACTTATTTTTTTTTGCGCTCTGACAAAGTGATTATTACTAGGTGTACGCAAGCCACTATCTGGCCCAATTAAGCTTTTTTTGCGTCGTTCATACCCGCCTGCTCGCGAGAATTGCCATCTTTGCTACGCTCAAATCTAGACACTCATCTTGTACTACACACCATGTCTGCACACATATTTTGCGCCACTAACGATATTAAAATGGCAAATGTCCTCTGCGCCAAGTAGAACGCGCTCCCAGCGTTAGTAAGGTCTTTTTTTTGGGTGTACGATTTGGGTGGCAATCTTTAGAAATATAGACAAAAGTTATGGTTGGCGCAATTTTCCTTATTCTAGGGATGTATGGGTCCAAATAACGCCGACTGGCTGGGCGAAATAGTACGTTTGCAGACATGGCGTGAAGTTGGCCAAGTCCCTACATAACTCAGCTACTAGTGTATGACAGAACTCAAGATATCTGCACCGCTCTTCCCGCCCCAGTTACGTGATAATTGAGTGTATTGACTGGTACAGTGACCCATCTGCAGTGACTAGATGAGTAGAGTATTTTAAGATTAGAAACGCTTTCAATAGCCAATCAAGAAGAAATCAGGAAAGTATCTCCAGCACTAAAACCTAAAAATATCCTCTCTGCATCTCAGAAGTCGAAAAAGGAAATCGATTTCAATAATGACATGCTCTTCAGAAACCGGACAATACTTTTCAGTGTTAGAGGGGGAGAGAGAAGATTCGCAATTCTCGACCTAGATCACACGCTCCCCCAACAACTCTCTAGACATATTTCTCCTCCTCCCAAGCCGCTTCGCCCTTGATGAACGTGTCAATGTCCTCTGGAAAGCAGTTCTTGAAGTCCTTGACCGCATTCGATTCCTGCTTATCTTGACCCTCCATTGCAGACTTCTCCTTGACCTGCGTTGCCCGCTTCTTAGAAGGCAGCTTCGAGGGTGTCTTGTCGGCGTCTGAAACCTCGGCGTTCTTGCGCTTGCTCGGCGTGCTTACGGGCGTGGTCGGACCTACACACATCCACACTGGTCAGCCCATCATCTTATATACATATTGAGCACACGACGATTGTTCACTTACCGCGTTTGGCTGAAGATGCCACGGGCTCAAACTCCTCGCCGCCTTCAACCCGCGCCCTGAGCTCCTTGGCCTTGGCAATGACAGAGCGAAAGTCGTGCTGGAAGCCATAGGCCGACTTCTTGCCGTCGAGAGAACTCATCATTTCATAATTCTTCATCGACAGGCTAGTTATGCCGGTGCTGCAGAGGACAGCGGCGACAACATCGGCACTGAACATCTTGTCGGCTTTTTCGGTGGCTTTGGGTGGCATCACGTTGGTTTTGGTGATTGTGTTGATGATCGAGTCGCTTGGTGTGATGCTGCTTTTTGGACTGGATTGTGTTGTATGTACTCAGTGCAGTGATATAATTTGAAGGTGACCACGTCAAGAATAAATGGATGGGAGACTACTCAAGGAGTCAGTTAAAATAGGCCAAGTGTCTCACTGCCATACGTGCGCAGTGAGAGAGAGGCTGCTGTCTCAATGGTGTGCGTCAGTGATGGTGAAAGCTGGCCAAGGGATTAGTGTAGGCTGCACTCACTTTCACTGTGATATGGCATGTCCACCACTGTTTGTGAGCATCAGTCGTGACGAAGCCTTGGGGGTGACCCCAGGTCGAACGGCCTCTAGCGCAAATCTTGGTGGTAGTAGCAAATACTTAGATGAGAACTTTGAGGACTAAAGTGTACATTCCAACGAAAAGCGCTATAGACATAGGGCAACTTCACTCATTTACTAGGAAGTGACTCCGGCATCTGTGATGTCAAATCACGGGACTCACATAGTCGTCTTGCTCAACAACCTAGTAACTTCCATAGCCATGTTCCCACATCACACACCAAATGCCTTTTCCACCACCTTTACCCCCGACGCCTTGCCATCCTGAGCCCAGTCACCCATATCCACAAGGCGATCTCTCTGAGCCTCCAGCTCTCTGTTCATAATATCCTTGTCTGGATTTCCCACGCTTCGCTTCAGCTCCTCAACCATCTCTCTCGTCTTTTCCATCACGCTCTTGGTAAATGCATTGTCCTGGCCGTGACTCATAGGCGCAACATCCAAGACTTGCTTTACCAGCATCATCGCGATAAGACCCATGTTGACACCGGGCGCGCCCACACCCTCTTCGGTGCCTGCAAGGTATGCCGCAAGCATCGCCATCTGCCATGTCTGAACAACTCGGACGGGATGGAATGGCACCGGGTAAAGCTTGGGCAAGATGTACTTGTATCGTTTTGCGCTGTGTGCCCATGCTTCTTGATACTTGCCCACCGAAAGGAGATTTACAATGAGCTCATCGCGAATCGAGGCGTACGGCTGGCGGTACAGAGGCCAGTTACCGGACTCACGGCATGCCTTGAGGGATTCTTTGAGAACTGGAATCACAGCCTCTGCATTTGGCGTGCCTTGGACTTGCTCATACAAGGTGAACATCTGCTCTTGATTGCTGGCCAATGCCTCAAGTTCTTCTTTGCTGGCGACAAAGTCAGAGTTTGCTGGAACGAGCCAATTGTCTTCCTGGTGCGTGGCTTTGTCTTGACATTTCGCACACCGGCATGTGAAGAACCAACGTGCCTGGAGCTCGTCTTGTCGTTTCTGGTACGGATGCGTCGTGTCAATGTAGGATATAAAAATCTCCTTATCCTTTCTGATTGGCCGTAGAGTCCGAATACTGATCAGGGGTCCATCCATCATGATGTAAGCATTTGGGTCGCAAGAATGGTTCATCTGGCAGAGCGTGGGGTCCACGATGATACCCAGTGGGTCCAATGTTGGTGTGATGAGCGTCAAGGCGTTTGACATTACCTTGCATGATTTAATAGTGTGTGCGCAAGCATTCAGGTTCCACTTACCCGTCCATACATTGCAGCAACAAAATCCTTGTCGAAGATATTCTGTGGGAGAGCAAATTGTGCGGCACCCATAGCCATCATTTCAATATTTTGGTATGTCCCATTCCGTTTGAAGTCGTCAATGTGAGATGGTAGCTGGCAAAGCAGTTCCCACTCCTTGTCAGGTATAAGGCCATGCTTCCGCCTTGTGAGTAGTTCCATAGACGCTAGGAATGCTTTTGGGAGGCCCCTCCCAGCCATGGGCTTAAGGATCTTGCACTCATGTCTATGCCCGCGGTTCCACGCTTCCTTTTGGCAAGCCTAAAAGCGTCAATTGGCGACGAGGCAAATATGCGGCGATAGCACTTACCTTGCTACAATACCTAAATCTCTGGCATGCAGCACATTTGCTGACTTCTGCACCTTCTGGCACATATAATCTTGTTCCTGCCGACGCACCTTCGGTCCAAAGATAGCAATTTGCGCAGGTGTCGAGTAAACGTTCCGTCTCTAAAGAGCCCACGAGAGGGCGCTTGAACCTAGCAATCTCTTCCCCTGCACCAAACCTCTGATTCGCGAACAATCCATTTCCGACGCTTTCTCCTTTGTTGTTCACACAGACATTCGACTTGGCAATGTAGTAGGGTGCTGGGTTAGCTATCGAGGCTTTCGGCTCATCTGACATGCTATGGTACTACGGTATCTTGACGAATGGTTTCGGTTAAACGTGCGGAAACTGAATAAGAAGGACTATGGTTAACACAGCTCGTGCGACGTCATTGTTTTCCGTTCTGGAGCAGCTTTGAACGCGCCAAAACGTGAGTTTAGCGGAACTAGGCCCGTCTAGGCATGGTTCGTCCATCCCCTCACTACTACCACGGCGCTTCGTACATATCATCTTCTTGACCGGATCACTGCCACGAAAACAAGATAGATCGATGAATGAATTCCACAGGTTGGCGTGCGACATTCATATCGCACGCTTCATCTAAAACATGTGACACAGTGCGAGGGCCTATTAATATGTTATAAATGGAGCGTCCCATGCGAGGTATGGCACACGAAGCTCCTCGTGATACAGCATCTTCCATCCATAAGCCCCTTGCCTACCGCTATAAAAGATACTTCTGATGCGTTATTTTTGGTGCCACCATGGCGCAAACCACAACACGTCTTCAATGCCATTACTGGCGACTACCCCACGGCTAAAGATGTCGCAATACCGCTCTGCCAAAGATATATATGCCTTCACCACGCAGCCGAAGAACAACAACAAGACCAAGAAATCTCCCCAAAAGAATATTGAAACCATCACGAGTGACCTCGAAAACCACTACCAAGACCTAGATCAGCCTGCCCGCGAGCATGCCCTGGTCCGCGATCTTGTAAACGACTGGAACGACCGTCGTCTGCTTGCTCTCTGGAAGTGCTTCGAGCACCATCCACAACGAACATTTAGAGTTGTACGTGCGATGGGATTGGATTTTGGCGAGGTTAGAACGGGTATGGTGATCAGGCGCGCACTTCGCAATCTGCAAAAACATCCGCAAAAAGACCGCTTTCTGGTGGTGGCGAGGGCACTTCATCAGTCTGGGAATAGTGACGCTGTGCTGGGGCTGGAAGATCCGCAGTATGTGTTGAATTGCCACGATGGCTCGGAAGATGTGTTGTAACGGCGATTCAAGGTTGTATGCCACGATTCTGGGAGTAAGCTATCAGTACACTGTTGCTTCGGACACACCAAGTGTCTGGATACTACCTCAGAGCTTCATGTTCCCATATCCTTCAAGGCCATCAAACAACAGCGAGAACGTGGGAACGTTGATAGTCAAAGGCTATTGAAATCAAGCATACCAATATACGCTTGTTGCTGTTGACACATCTCGGAGCCATGTCTCTCGTTCGCCCATATGAAGCCATAATGGATGTTTGATAAAGTTCCGATTAGACTCCATTCAATTCTGTTCCGACACCCATAGATGAAATTACGTTATTATGTCGTGATTGATTATACAAAAGCCCTTATAGTTACTGCTTTTCGTTCTCGGAATAGATAAAGTTCGCCGCCACGGGAACCAGCTCATTCTCCTGAGCCCATTCTCTTACGCCACCACGTTCTTTCCCTGTACCCCAATGCTTACGATCCTGCGGTTTGCTCGGATGTAGAGGCTCTGTCGTGCCATTCTTGGGTGCGAAAACAAGAAACACGTAGCGATGTTTGCCAGTCTTGGGTGGCGGGCCAGGAGGTTTGTATTCCATGACATCATCTAGCTCTTCTGTCGATTCAATCTCCTCAGTGAGGCCAAACTCTGGTGAAGGCCGGACGGAAAATGTATCTTGGACAATGGAGACATTGGAAGCAATCCAGTGACAAAATTCACTCCACTCTGGGTTGTCGCGGGACGGAGCATCTGGGTCTGTCAAGGTGATAATGTAGCTCATACCAGAACTAGCGTGCTTGCCGTCTGGGCTAGTGTCGTCATGCAAAATAACGGTGGGTTGTTTCTGAAGGTCTTCTGGATCGACAGTATTGCCTAGCTTAGCCTTGGCATCTAGCCAGGCGATGGAAAGTGTGAGACTGGGGAGAAAGTCGTCGATGACTAGAGGGCGGTTAGTGCTGAACCTTGGCCTCCTACATGAGTTGAATAGACATGCCTGTGGGGATGATTTCGGCATTATGAAGTCTGCAGCTACTAGTCAGAAAAAGCCGACCAGAAATCCAGGTTGCGAGAAACTCACTGCGCCCTGACATTCCTAACATTCTTGGGACCGTTGAGTAGAAGCGGCTTTTGTTCTACTGGAAGGGCAATTGCTGTTGCGCAAAGTTGCAGCAAGCAGGTTAAGGCAGTTGAGAATCTGGAAGGCATTTTGTGTGTGAATGGGACAGGGCTGCTTCCTGCGATCTTGGTATGGGACAGTAGGTGGAATTTGCAGCTGGCGTCAAGCATTTAATGACATTGTCGTTCCTTCCCGGGAGTTTCCCCACACGTGCGTCATCTGTGCCTCAGCATTGTAGATCCACCATCGAATCGGGCGGGAGGCGCTGATTGGGTAACTACTGCGCAGAGATAAGCCACAAAGCAGACGTAATTAATGTGAATGTATTCGTCTTGTACTACTTGCGCTATGGGTATTTCTAAATAACAGGTACCGCTAAAAAGAAACATGGAGAGGGCCGATGTGAAGGAGCATGACCGCGAGACCAAATCAGCAGCCCTCGGCGTGGTCATTGATCGGAGCATTGCAGAAAGTGTTGCTATTAATGACGAAGCCCATGTTTTGCGAAATCTGGTATTCGGCTAGCTCTTGAGCTCCGCGTCCTGTCATTGTGCCTGTGCAGTCGCTGAGCAAAACACAGTCCCATCCGTACGAGTATGCATCGGACACGGTGCCAAAGACGCATTGATCCGTGTTGACGCCAGCAAAGAGCAGCGTCTGCTTGCCAGATGCCCGCAGATACGCATGGATGGGTTCCCTCTCAGACCAGAGACCACTCATTCTTGTCTTGTCGAAAAAGAGGTCGCCGGGCTGGGCGACTGCTTGAAACGGTCCGTATAGGGCTGCGTTCCACGTCCGCTTGAATAGGCATCTTCCTTGGCCATCAGGCAGCTGAGCGCCTAGCCCCACATGCCATCCCAGCGTCTTGCTGAAGCCGCGCTGGATAGCAGGCGCCATCTCGTTCAGGTCGTCGTCGGTGATGCCCCAGTTCAGCCAGGCAACTTGGATGCCTTCCTTGCGGCATCTCTCAATGACCTTCAACGTAGGGCCAGTTGCAGTAATTCCTGCCGCATGGTCGCGATACAGTGGATGGACAAAGTAGTTTTGCATGTCAACGACGATTAAGACTGACTTGGCAGGGTCAATCATAAAGCCGGTGTGATTGCTGCGTTCTTCATCGCACTCGAGAACCATTTTCCGCTCCGCTCCTCGAGACAAGTCGAACTTTTTGGTGGCTGGTAAATAGAGCCATTGCCCTTCACCTCCAAATGGAATAGATGCAGTACATTTTATAGTTCCTATGGTAATGTCGTGATTCTCTTGAGTAGTGGTTACGGTCAGAGACTCGGGGGCCATGGAAGCGTGGATGAGGAGACGAGTGAAATGGACTCGACTTGAAAAATGGCCAGAGTCTCAATGAGATTGAGATTGAAATGCGGATGGGGATGGAGAAGTGGGTGGTGCAGAGGTCAGCGTAGACAGGCGACTTTTGTAGGCCAGGCGCAAACGGCGGTTCTTCCTTTGTTTGCGGTGAGCATGATAACAGGGCTTATCTCTTGATAGGCTTCCTTCGGCAGGCAGAGCCTGGTCACAGCATCAAGATTCGGTCGAGGTAATCTAAGTACACTTATCAGCTTGTGCAAAGGCATGATACCGTCGTCAGGTACACGTGATGGTACCTGGCCTTGGTAGCGTGGCCAATGAAGCGGAGGAGAAAATGGCGATGCATGGCGATCAGCAAGCATTCCCCAGGATGTGGAGATGGCATCTGAAGATCTGGTTTGATAATCTGGTGTGGCCGTGCCGAGGGGAGCGATAAGGGTGGTGAGCAGCGATAGATAGCCGTGCCGTCGCGGTGCTACTAGTTGTACTACGCCAGGCGCGGGGTCCGACAATACCCGACCGCCGGCGAGAGTAGGCTAGTAGTGTCGTGTAGTAGTGTGTAATAATAAGTCACCAGCCAAAGCCGTACATACGTGTCATGCCCTCTTTTCACACGACGACAACAGGCAACCCCATCGAAACCCGACGGGGAGAGTCGTGTTGCTGCCAGTCCAGACATGCTCGAGGTGTGTCAAATTGTGGGTGCTCAACAAGGGGCTGCGGAGCCGTGCGATGAGTTGTTCTGATGGCTTGGCCCACTGCCAGTTTCCCAACACTTGAATGCTGATGACGCTGGCGGTACGACTGCTTGTTTGGCGATGGAGGGAGTCTTTTTTTTTCTCTCTCATGGCATTGCGCACACTGGCTGTCGTGTGCTGCGGGCTGCCGTGCGTTCCATGTACATATGTATGTACCGTTGTAGTTACGTATCCGGGCTTGGGAGCCGGGCGTCATGCACCGCAGTTGGTGTGGCGTTTGACAGGCCAGGCCATGGCTCATGGCCAACGCCAGCAACGGCCTCGAGCTCTCCGTGAACAACAACCCGGGGGGTTGCTTGTCGCGTGTGCTGGCGTCCAGCGCTCCTTTATGCGCAAAAACATGGGTAGTGCGAGGCCAGATTAAGGAGAGTGGTGAGTGCAAGTGCGTGATGTGGGGAGCAGAGTGCCATGCTGGCCGTCACGTGGCCGCCGCCTTGGAACATGAACTTTCAAGCGAAGTGACGACGGAGCTGCAGCAAAGGCCCTCCCGTCCAGAGCCTCTGCTCCCCCCAAAGTCGCCATCACCTATATCTCCCCGCCTGATCCCGCATTTGTACTCTGCACATACCCCCCGTTCCCCGCCCTGCCGCGACTTTTCTGCCTGCAGCATTCGATTCCGCCATCTGGTCTGGTCTGGCTGCCCGGCAACAAGTCCGTCCCGTGAGGAGCAAAGAAACGACAGATACACAACAGCGCTATGGCGGCGCTGGGCGAGGAACTCCTCAACATTGTCAACAGGCTACAGGACCTGGTCTTCAACACGATTGGAAATGATTCCCTCGATTTGCCCCAGATTGTATGTGCGCCCCAACCGGAAAAGGGAATGCGGTGAGGGCGGAGCAGATTTTCAACCGCTCCGCTGCATGCTGTCGAGGCGTTGCTAACTGGCTCAGGTCGTTGTAGGATCGCAGTCGTCTGGCAAATCGTCAGTGCTCGAGAACATTGTCGGCAAGGATTTCCTGCCGCGTGGCAGTGGCATCGTTACCCGCCGACCGCTCATTCTCCAACTCATCAACCTCCCCAGCGAACGCGATGAAGACGACGACGATGAAGTCCATGTGCCCCACACGCCCGCAAGCGTTGCTAGTCAGCAGGAGTGGGCTGAATTTCTTCACATTCCTGGCCAGCGCTTCTACGACTTTGGAGAAGTTAAGCGCGAGATCGAGAACGAGACGTCTAGGATAGCAGGAAACAACAAGGGCATCAACAGGCAGCCCATTAACCTGAAAATCTACTCACCCCACGTCTTGAGTTTGACGCTGGTCGATTTGCCTGGTTTGACCAAGGTGGGCGCTTCTGACTTTTTCTGCGTGGCAATTCTAGGCTAACAAACACAGGTGCCCATTGGTGACCAACCCTCCGATATCGAGAAGCAGACACGGAACTTGATCACCGAGTATATTGCCAAGCCAAACAGTGTCATTCTCGCCGTCTCCCCCGCCAACGTCGATCTCGTAAACTCGGAGGCTCTGAAGCTTGCACGTCATGTCGACCCCATGGGTAAGAGGACCATTGGTGTCCTCACAAAGCTCGACCTTATGGACCACGGCACCAATGCCATGGACATTCTCTCAGGCCGTGTCTATCCACTCAAGCTTGGCTTCATTGGTATCGTCAACCGATCACAACAGGACATTCAGGGCAACAAGTCCCTGGCTGATGCCCTACAAGCCGAGCGGGACTTCTTCCGACACCACCCTGCGTACAGGAATATGGCTAACCGCTGCGGTACCCAACTGCTTGCCAAGAGCCTGAACCAAACACTCATGGCTCACATCCGGGACCGTTTACCAGACATCAAGGCACGCCTGAACACTCTCATGGGCCAAACACAACAGGAGCTTGCGAGCTATGGTGATGTCACCTTCACTGGAAAAGAGCACCGTGGCTCGCTCATCCTACAGCTCATGACTCGCTTCGCCTCTTCCTTCATTGCATCCATCGATGGTACCTCTACTGAGATCTCGACAAAGGAGCTATGCGGCGGTGCCCGGATATACTACATCTTCAACTCGGTCTTCGGCAACTCGCTCGAGCAGGTCGATCCTACCCAGAACCTGTCCGTATTGGACATTAGGACGGCTATCCGCAACTCGACTGGTCCCCGACCCAGTCTGTTCGTTCCCGAGTTGGCATTTGACCTCCTGGTAAAACCTCAGATCAAGCTTTTGGAAATTCCAAGTCAGCGTTGTGTCGAGCTCGTCTACGAGGAGCTGATCAAGATCTGTCACACATGCGGCTCCACTGAGTTGACAAGATACCCCAGGTTACAAGGAAAGCTCATTGAAGTCGTGTCAGATCTTCTCCGAGAACAGCTTGGCCCTTGCTCGGGTTATGTTGCCTCCCTCATCGATATTCAAAGAGCCTACATCAACACAAATCACCCCAACTTCCTTGGTGCTGCTGCTGCCATGTCATCTGTCATTAGCGACAAAGAGCAAAGGGAGAAGAAGATTGCAATGGAAGCTGAGAAGAAGAAGCGAGAGCAGAGAAGATTAAAAGAGCTTCAGAACGGCGCTAACGGAGAGGGCGCAGAAGACGGCGAAGCTGGTGACAACGCATCCCTGAAATCTCTTCCTCTTCGAAAACACCAGTCCCAAACCAGCCGTAGCATGTCACCGGCTGTGGGACGGATGGTGAACGGATCTCAGAGCACAACAGCAGCACTCAATAGCCGCAACCGGTCACCTCCTGGTACTGCCCGTGACAGCTTCCTAAATTACTTCTTCAGCAAAGACAGCAATACCGCATATCCTAATCCACAGGGCTTGCCACAAGCCACTCAGCCGATGCTTGACAACCGGCCAGGAAGCCGGCACGTCAGCCAAAACATCGAGCCTAGTTTTGCACAGAGCATTCGGAGGGGTGACAGCAAGCAACCTGCCCATGTGCTGGCGATGATGCCACCAGATAATGATGACTATGATGCACCGTCCAGTGCTGCTTTCAGCGCCCCTCCCCATAGCCCAAACATGGGCGGGGAAAACTTTGAAGGCGGCTTTGTAAGTCTCCACATCAGACCTTATTGACGCTGGGTACTAACTTTACACAGCCCTCCAACCCTGAGCAAGCACCAGCCCTTACAGAACGTGAAGCGCTTGAGACTGAGCTTATCCGCAGGCTCATCTCATCGTACTTCAACATTGTGCGAGAGACTGTTGCTGACCAAGTGCCCAAGGCGATCATGCATCTGTTGGTCAACCACTCCAAGGATGTTGTACAGAACCGTCTAGTTTCTACGCTGTACAAGGAAGATCTCTTCCAGGAGCTATTGTACGAGGATGACACGATCAAGGCTGAGCGCGAGAAGTGCGAGAAGCTGCTCAAAACGTACAAGGAGGCTGCCAAGATTGTCGGCGAGGTATTGTAAGAGAAGCAAGGGTTGGATGATGAAATAAAACGACATAGCTTCACTGTAGGCTGTTGAAGATGTGCAACTGTATGTGCCTTTACGGCTTGGCTGCAAGGGATCGGGGTAAAGGCAGTGTCAAGCGCTTGTGAGGCGAATGGGGAAAGGAAGGGCCGCGCGGCGTTCATGTTGCTTCGGCCCACTTGTCCCGTCTCTTTTCGTGCTTTTGACATCTGATACTCACTCGTCTGTTTGGAGACCACTCCACTGCTTTTGTTTTGTTTTGTTATTTTTTTTTGGATTGGACACGTCTCGAGAGTTGCATGGCACTTTCTCTCATGGGCTCTGGTTTTGGCTTTTTGTTACGAATTACGCCCATGGGTGGTCTCGAGAGGGGGGCCAGGTGATGAGATGAGACGAGACGAGATATGTATAGAATACACCGTTTTCTGACAGTAAAGACATTACTTGGGCCAATGAGCACGTGATATTGTAGGCGATCTGTGGTATGCATACTCTTCTGTTGTTGTATTGCTGTTTGTCTCCGTTCACTATCAATTGAGTGGAGCCGTAGATTGGGTTGGCCGAGTGCAACACTGACACGAAAAGAGAAAGGGGAGAATAAGATGAAACAAAGCAAGCCAACGGGCGCCATCATTCAAACTTGAAGCATGTGTATTTGAAAACGTTATCAACCCGACGTCTATGTTGTACAAAAAAGGCACAAAAGTACCGGGAGATTGGTATCTCGTAGATGTCGTACGACTATTGACTAGTTGTCCTTTCTGTCTCTCTCCCCCTCCTCTCCCAATCGTCCTCTGGGCTTGGCAAAAGGGGACAGCCGCATTATGTCCATGCTAGGGTAGGAAACATGAAGCCTTCTTTGACTAGGCTTATTTGTCGGTTATGCCGAGGAGGGCGTGTAGATCGGCATTGGGGTCTTTTGGGTCGGCCTTGGCTGGTTTCATGAGTCAGTAAAAGGTAGTTTGTGGTAGTGCCATGGCAGTTTTGGCTGAGAAATCGGCAGCAAAATGACGCACCTCCCGATGATTTTGGTTGTTCTGTAGGGTGGTCTCGTGCCCATTGCTCCTTTGCTTGTCTGATCAACGCCTGCTTGTGGTCCCACTCCTTTTGTGCGGCCTTTGCCCGGTCGGCGGCAGACAGCGAAAGCTGGTGGTAGGCACCATAAAAGACACCCAGGCCGAGTGCGGACCACCGGAGGACCTGTGATTGCAATCCATTAGCCGTCATTGTCAAAATATCTGGTGGTGTTGCGGGACCCCAGGAAAGCACATTGTTCTGGATATTTTGGGAGGATCCTTTGGCGGGATGGAGGGGGTTGAGCGTACGTTGACACCGACGGATGTGGACATGGTGACGGTTTTTGGGGGCGTGTGAGAGGGCTTGCGATAACCGTTGTTCTTGGTCGTCTATGTCCAATGGCAGATATTCCGGACGAGACGGTGGTGTAGACGCCAGAGGGATGGGATCCGGGGCGGCAGGACGAGGGGCGTCGGGGCGGATGCGGGTTGTTGGGCGTTGCAGAGCTGTCAAAGTTGAGGTTGGACCTGGCGCAAGATTTGGTCGGGACTGCCGCCCTCGCTGCGAGCTAGTGCGTCCTCCCCCCCGTCCCTGAACACTCACCACTGAACACTCCGCTTGGCGCGACGACGTAGCCACATAACAACCAAACGCCACGCTGTTTTATTTTTTTGCTGCTGCAGTCACTGGGCGCAAGAACGCAGAGAAAGATAGCATAGACCAAACGGTTATCCATACGCATGGGGTTACATAACCAGTGACGCGGCAACGAACATCCAGATACACAAACACATACAACGCATACACACCGGTCCCCTCCACACCTCCGCCATGGAGTCGACAATGCAACAACGGCGGGATGAGATCCTAGCGAAAAAGGCAAAGCTCGCCGAGCTGAAGCGCCAGCGCGAACTGAGGAAGGCAGAGTCGGCGAGCCGGCAGTCGACAACAGGCAGTCCGCTGGGGGAAGTCCTCTCACCAACACCAAGGCGAAGCGAAGATCTCGATCGGAGAACCGACGTCAACAACCTCATTAACAGCATTCTCGGTGAGAGTAGGCCTGGATCAACTGGACCTGGCTCGCCCGCTGGCCCAGGGCGGGCGACCCGACCGACATCAGTCGTCAGCGCAGGCCAGCTCAGCAGCGATGAAGGCTCCGCCGGCTTCCCGCCATCTGCTGGCATGATCGATCGGGAGATGCAGACGCTTTCGATCGGCCCACTGGCTACCGTATACGAGATCGACGGCCAAGTCACAAACGAGGTCAAGAAAGAAAAAGAGATCATCACCTACAGCAAGGGAGTGCAGGCGAGCATAGAATGGAGCCCCTCAAAGGAACGCCGCGCGGGTGGCAGCGAGAGCGAGCGCGACGAGAGCCCTACACGATCACCCAAGAGCAAGAGGCTGAGCAGGAGACAAAAAGAGCGTGAGGAGGAGATTCGAGCCCAGCTGCGCAAGGAGATTGAGGAAGAGATCAAGGCAGTCCAACAACCACTCCAGGAAGGCGCGCCACAGCCAGGATCAGACGAGAACTTTCCCTTCAAGACGCTTACAAATGAGGAACTCACAGCCGTGGAGAACTCGGAGGAATTTATTGGCTTTGTAGAGCGAAGTACAAAGGTGCTGGAGCGGGCTCTCGACCAACAACTAGGCTATGATATTCTCGCCGACTATGCGCATGCAGGTGTGGACGCCGACGACTCGGATGAGGGCTACGGCTCGAGTGGAGCAAAGAAGGGCCGGCGGATAAAGGAAGTTGCGCAGTTCTGGGACGAGCGGTGGAGCAAGAAGCGAATGATTTCTGATCTGGGCTTCTCCACAAAGGTAAGGAATACTGGCTTGTTCCACAAAATCACTACTAACAATAAACTTGAAAGTTTCCTGAACTCGTCCTCGCCTCGTATACAAAGAACCCATCTGCTCCACACGACCCGGATGGTCTTGTCCAAGTCTGGAACCTGCACATGCACGATCGACCCGAATACATCTTCCACGCCCAGTCCGATATCCTTACCGCCAAGTTCTCTCCATTCCATCCGAACCTAATTGTTGGCGGTGCTTACTCTGGCCAAGTGCTGTTGTGGGACACTCGGGCCAAGTCTGCACCTGTCCAAAAGACACCCCTTACAGGATCTGGCCATACACATCCCGTTTACTCACTAGACATTGTTGGTACACAGAATGCTAACAACATCATCTCATGTTCGACGGATGGCGTTGTTTGTGGCTGGACAGTCGACATGCTTTCGCAACCACAAGAATTCCTCGAACTTACGTCACCGCCCCCAGCAAAGACGGACGACATGGCGGTGACCAGCATCGCTTTCCCTCAATCAGATCCAACATATTTTCTAGCTGGCACAGAAGAAGGCTCCATTTATCCTTGCCATCGCTACGATCGCGCAGGTGCAAAGGCCGGTGTGGATGGACGTGTCAAGTACGCTGGTCACGCTGCGCCTGTAATGAGCTTGGACTTTCATCCGGCAAAGGGCCAGATTGATCTTGGCGATCTTGTCTTATCATCCAGTGTCGACTGGAGCGTCAAGCTATGGAAAGTGCGGCCCCCAGCCGCCACGGGTGCGACCAATGTTACTTTACCCGGCGCCGCGCAACAGGTCACGCCCGTGCTGGACATTGCACGTGAGGATCTTGTGTACGATGCGCGATGGTCGCCTGTCAAGCCCTCTGTGTTTGCTCTTGTGGATGGAGCAGGCAGCCTAGAAGTATGGGACATTAACGTCGACGTCGAAGTGCCTGTGCAGTCTGTCAAGCCTAGTGATGGCAAGAGGGGTGCATTCACGAACATGCCGACAGGCTTGGGATATATGAACAGAAGTCTGAATAAGCTAGCGTGGGAGAGGAATGAGGGCAGAAAGGTGGTTGTTGGTGGCATGGATGGCGTCGTCACCGTATTCGAAGTTGGCGACGACTTGGGTGGTGTGCAGACGAGGAGCGAGGAGTGGAGCGGCGTGAAGAGGCTCGTGAACCGACTTGAAGGGCATGGTGATAGTGCGAATGGGAAGTAGGCTTCGCATGATCAACTCGCTGAGATTTATCATGGAGGGCAGACAGTCCACAATGTCCCAAAACTGTGCGATAATACCCCAAATTTCCGTAAGCGGAAACCTCATTGTTGACAAGGACGAGATTGATTGCTTTCTAACATACCCCCCCATGTAGTTATTAACAGAATTTCCCTTGTCGTTCATATGCACTGTTGAGCATATGTACTTAAAGTACATACCCGTATGGTGATACAACCGCTTCACCAACTCAATGACTTGAGTCCATCGTACCTGCTTGACGGATCCCTTGCGTCAGCCAAATTCATGGGTAGCGCCAGGATGGTCAGTATGTATGCCTGTACATTGGAGTCGGACGTGGTGAGGACGGCCCGTTAGCGCACCAAACTACTGTCGTCGATTGCGTGTCACTTTGCACGCGGCTCTGCCCTCCTGCCAGTCAGATACGTTATGGCCCCTCTTGCGCACAGCCACACCACAAGCCACACATGCATCTCCTCCACACCTACTACATCATCCACCCGGGCTAGCGGGTTAGCAGGTTTCCTATCGCAAACAGCATCGAGGCTCCGCGGCTGCCTCGCTCTTTTTCTTCTGACCCCAAACAAGAGCTGAGCAGTCTTGCTTGACCTATGCTGTTCAATCATCTAGACGGGTCCTGATGCTCCTCCTTGGATAGCGACGTCCATCTTTCTCAACTGAAGACAAGAGCGATGCTTAGTGTTGTGTTGACTCTACTACCCACGCTGCCATGGCCGGATTTCTTCCAGTCGCCGCCGCCGCCGCAGCAAACAAAACATGAACAAATGTAAACTACATCCTTTGACTGTTGCTTCCCTTGGTTCTGGTTCAATTGCACGTCGTGGGAGCCGAAACAGAAAGACATGAGAAGATGAAGCAATGATACTGACTTTGATCACGATACGTTCTAGTGCAATAATTTCCTGCCTGTCAGCAGTCAAGAGCAACTTCCCTTGCCATACCACACCTACACCAGACTACGCGTGTCTGTGCAGCCAATACCTCTGGCGCATCTCGTGCTACGAAAACTACGTCTCGGGGCCATGGGCCCATGCGGATCGCGCCATCACGCAAGGAGATGCCCACAACACTTGTCGTGAAGCAGGAAGCGTAGCCGTGGATGAGGTCCGAAAGGAGCATGCACAGCGAAAACGGCAAATAGGCAATTTTTTGTCGAGTATTGTGGGCGATGTGTCGTCAATTCTATCAAGCAAGGGCGTTACAGTTCCTACCACCGTGATTGAAAGTGTGGCTGGCGGAGTAGTGAATGCCTTGCCGACACCTGTGGATCTGACGAGTATTGCAGCCATGTTCACGGCAATAAGTGCAGCCGGAGATGAAAACGGAACCATGACTATCACAAAGATAGGAACTTCTACTTCTTCATCGACTTGGAGAGCAGTCTCTGCGTCCTCCTCAGAAGGACCGGCTTCTTCGTCTTCTGTCATTTCTCTACTACCATCCCCATCGAACCCAGACTCAGGGCCTTCGGCAGGTCTCATCGCTGGCGTGGTGGTAAGAGCTATTGCGGCTCTTGCCCTGATTGGAATCTTCATCCTACTCCTCCTCCGGCATCGCAGGAAAAACAAGTACCAACCCTCATCGCCACTCACAGACAAAGAAACTAGTCCCATCATATCATCATTTTCTTCCAATGGTTGTGTACCCCAACTCAACACTTCTTCGATAATACCTACTCATACGACACTACCGACAGGCACACCCACTGCATCGGCATCTCCAGAGCCCGTATTGCACTCCCCAATCTCCCCGGTCTCTCCTGTCATCCCGCCAGAGCAAGCACTTTGGATATCTTCTCCATCAACATTTGCTGGGGGAACCTTGCCTAGGTATCCCTCTTCTGTCGACAATATACCACTGCACTCTCGCTACTACCTTGATTCTAAGATACCGCAAAGCACCGAAATGCCGACATCTGCTAATTCCTGGGAGCTTGATGGAAGAGAGATATCGCCTCCGGGTGAGCTCAGCGTTGCGCAAAAGAACCAACGGAATACTAGTAGCGGCGTACAAAGGCAAGGGCAAGGACAGGAACATGTGACAAATTACCAACCTGGCGAAGAAGATCATCTGCAAGGAGAGTTCATAGGGAACAAGCCGGTCGAGAGGGCTTGGTGATATAGCCAAGTAATGGGTATCTTGCTCTTGTCACGGAATATGAGATGTCATCTCATGAGGTTGCTGTAAAGCCCCAAGAGACACTCGAAATAACGAGTTTTGTGCTGCAAGAAAACCCTGTTAGAGGAGAAATCATCCGGGTTGCGTCGTAGAACTCGCGTGCAACACGATTAATAGGGGGCTAAACAATAAAGTATGTCAGAAACCCACTATTCAAAAGGAGGACGCTTATCATGCAATAGGTATTGCAGCAACTTTCAACATGCCACCGTATCCGTTGTAGTGTGACCAATACGCCGCCTTTAACCGGCAAGGACTGGACCTGAGCTATACTCTGGTTCAGCATCCGACGTACTATGGATCAACCGCCTCGCTTGCTTCTAGAACAACAATCTATATGCCTTCACGATACTTTTGCAATCTTTCTTTGGCAATATAAAAGGGGGTTAAAGCGGGAATACAACAGAAATAATAACGAGAACTAGTGAACTTTACATGCGTTTACTGGTACAGATCTTGAAGTCTGGTCGACTTAGAAGCTTACATGAAAGATGAGATGAGTGGTAAAATATGATACTGGAAATTGATCAGTTCGTAACGGTAGTGAACGCTACTAACATATATAAAGTGTCGTTTGCAAGAACCTATCAAGGCTTCGTATAGTTGCAGAAGGCTGATTATATTTGTTTGATAATCTTGGCTTCAGAATACCAAGGATTTGTTACACTGAAAGTGGCATCGACCTTGGTGGAGTGCGCTGGTTGCGGATGCACGCAGCTTATTAATCGCGCGCTTTGAGGCTCGTTATGAAACTAGTGCAAAACTATAGTGAGTAGTACTTAATTCGCCCGTGAGAAACGCCCAGAAACGAGGCCCCAAATGTGCGACCAGCTTAGTTAGCAAAGACTTAATGTCCACTTTGCAACCAAGCATCGCATAGCTTACTCACGGAGTATGTTCCGACATGAGATGTTTCCTATTATTGGGTGCGCCCTGTAGAACATTGAAACAGGAGGAAGGAGTGCCGATGGCATGCTTGACCTATCAGGCCTGCATGAGATTAGTGTACAATACTGATATCGTAAGACCAATTACTGCATCGAGTAAGTAATCCTACTAGCGCAAACCCAACCGCTGACCAAAAGCAGAGATTTTCGCCTGTTGTCATCGTTACCTGCAGGATCACGTTTGCTCAAGGAGAGCACCTAGCAATAAATAGTCAATACTGTCAAAGTCAGTCATGCAGACCGACGGTTAGGTGGAGCCGACTTCGGAGAGAGCTTGTCTTCTTGAATAATCATCATCTGTACATTGTACAATGCGGAATAAACAGCTTTGGCGACTCTGAAAGATTAGTCCATACATCGTTCAATACACTCGTCGGGTTGCACAAAAGTCAAGGTCCTTAGGCCAGACTTCGATACAGTAGCAAGCTACTAATGCTTGATAATACCTCAACTGAAGCACATTATAAGACTTGCACTTCGCCTGTTATACGAGTAGGTATGCGGCAAACCCTAGTAACAATAGAAGCTCACGTGCATCGCACGGGTAACCTGATAGTCTTCTGGGACTACACTGTAAGACCTAGCGTCGGTTCTTTAACAACTCCGATACTTCCGACGTCCCGCTTGTTCAAATATGGTCGTTGCTAAATGATGTCTCATTGCTAATCCATGCTACAGGGTCATGAATAAAACATTGAAGGTGGTATTATCCACTTGAGCACAGCACTCGGGTACACATAAAACCTCACTCCTCTTCCATTCAAATCCTCAGCATTGAGCTGAACACATTCCTTCGATCCTCTTCTACCCTTTTCGCAATCACCAAATCCAAAGCGGTCACGCCTCAAATCAGCACCAAACAAAAGCATAATGCAGTTCTTCTACGCTCTTCTCTCTCTCCTGCCCCTTGCAGCTGCGAACGGCCGAGTTCGCTTCAACGCATTCGACCACATCAATTGCCAAGGTTTCGAGGAAAATTATGACCTCAACCCTGCAACAGTAAAGGGCAACTTTCCAGGTAAGATCTTGGCATTTATGAGATGACCACACGTTCTAATGCCATCCAAGGCCCCCGCGGAGCTATTCAAATATTGCAAACTTCCCCAGGATGCCACATCACGCTCTACACCGGCTACAACCAGTCGCCAAACGACGGCAGCCGTCTCGCTATCCCTACCGACAATGCTAATTGCTACTTTAATGGCAATGGGTTTGAGCAGTATCATAGCTTTGGATATTACTGCCCTTAGACTACCTTGATAGGATAGTTGTGAGTAACGAAAGTCGTTGAAGTAGCCGTACTAGTAGGCAACCATAGCAACAGATAGATCAATGGAAATACTCTATTGTTAAGGGCTTCGAGCATACTATATCCATCACGTCTGAGAAGCTATAAAACATACCACCATGCACAGGTATGGATGTTTCAGATAGGTTAACATAAAGACACGATCTATAAGAAGTTGCTTTAAATCTAATCACCGACTACAGGTTCTATATAAACGAATATAGCACTTTTTCCCTGATACATACATAGCAAGTCCCCATGGAGCTACCTCTCCATGGCTTATCCAGGATATCGTAGCAAAGATATGTATATGGGATGTCTTATGTAACTAAGTTTTCGGATACAAGAGTTGAGCCAGTACTATGGCCAGCCTACAGCCACAAGCGACTTGTAATACCTGCGCAGCCACCTTGCTATTCAGCTCCACCAACAGCAGATTGTCAACAAGTCGGGTACCCCCACGTTAAGACAAGAAAGCGATTGTTGATGTAAATGTATCTCAAGATTTTCTTTTCTCTGTTTATATGTACGGGAAGTTAAAAAGACATAAGAACCAGGTATTCGTAAGGAGCAAACGCTTAGACAATTCCAGTACACTTTACTTCTTCAGTCTGACACCTCAATTTTAGACCGTATAGTACCTCCAGCTATGGCGGCTATACACTCATCTAAATATGATCCTATGAAGGCGAAGTCCCAAGGTTTGCGCAACCTTCGGCATGGCTGGTTTACGTATGAACTAAGCATAACAATTAGACCCAGCAACGTATCTTACGACGCCTGTCCAAAACCAAAAAACGATAGGTGAATGGCCCCAAGAGCCAAGAAGTCTTCAACAATCAATGATCGCGTGGCTAATTAGCTTATCAGCACATGTCCTCATATTGTTGCTCCCTGTATGCTCTGTTGGTCAGTCTCCTTACGGCGAGAAACCGTGCTCGTGGCGATAAATGAGAATATCGAGCCTAATCGAATTACACAGGCCTCGCCATTGGAGTTTTGCAACTTGATGAACGCCCTGAGTCAAATACAGTCAAGGCTATACTTCAGGCACTGGCTGTTAGTGCAACCATATGGCCGATTCTATTCGCAGCTGTGATAGGACCGTTGGTTAAGGCAATCGCGCTATACAATGCGCAAAGAGGTACTACGCTGGGGGTAAATCAACCTATTCTTGTGCAAGTCTAACATGTCGATTGATGCATTGAACAGGTTCTTGAAATATTGTATACCAGCCAAACTCTTGTCAGCACACTACGCGGGTGTTTCTCCCTCCGGATCGTTAGCTTGTGACCTGTGATTCTCGTGCTTGTCTGGTCTCTCAGTCCCATTGGTGGACAGGCAGTCTTGCGAGCTGCAACGCTAAGCGCAAATTTCAGAGCAGTCGACTATACAATATCCAGTTACCCGTACAGCAATCTCCAAGCCTTTAGAGATGGACCTTTCAATTCTGGCGTTTCTGGTGGTGCATCTTTGATGAATCAGTACCAAGTACCAGCATAGGCCGCGTTCACATCCCAAGATTTACGACTGCATCATGCGAACGCGTCAAGCAATAGCTTCGCTGCTGGTGTGGAGCAAGTTGGAGGCCTTGCAGAGGCTGTGAAAATGACTCAGAGAGACCTCTGGCGCAATGTTCGGATCCCATTTATCCATCCGCTCCCGGGATACAAGGCGAAACAAGAGGAGTGGATCGCCATACAAAGTAACGTGATACCTGACTATTCGTCACTTATCGGCATTCCTATAAGAGGAATTCCCTCTTTCACAAGTGGCAACGCATCTTCGATTATCCAGACGAGTTACCACTCTGACTGTAAGCTCTGTTCTGTGGATATTCCGAGAGCTACTAATATTTCGTAGTGCAATACACCTTGGGCAGCTTCGTAAGATGTAATGAGTGTCTACGGTGGGTCGGTGCTCAACTGGACGAGTGTGACTGGTTGTGTAGGCATCCCAAACCTGCAGCTCAAGATGATCAACGATCCCGAACGCGAAGATGCCATAGGTACCATCTACAACGAAGCCGAACCTCCATCTCGATTACGCCTCATGATAGGGACATACAAGAATCAGACGATATGTGAAGTTCGTACAGAATATGTTCAGGCTCAGATCCGTTGCTCCAGGGCCGCAGACAATGCTGATCTTGCTTGTTTTGTCGAAAGAATGCGGCATGACCCAAGTTTTGCTGGTTCCGGGAATCTTATGGCGCTTGATATTGGTCTGAATTACACGATACTTCAGCAGATCCCCTGGACCTTTGCAAGCAGTCATCCAGGTGAACCCAGTATCTTGGAAATGTGGCTGAAAGACCCCACTACAGCTTTCAATACCGACGAATTTCTCAATATAGGAAACGTCGAGTTCTGGTACAAGGATATCTCGCTTGGGCTCTTTGCGGATCGATTGGCAATGGTGTTGAACACTCATCTTCGCGCTTCCTTACAGATGAGCTACATTGTCGGAAGTGATGGATTGGCCCTCAAGAACGAAAGCCAGTCATGGGCGCAGGCTAATGGTACATGGGCCGAAAAAATCAGTCTGCGTTATCAGTTGAATAAGGTTTGGTTTCTACTCTATCTTCTCTCAGCCATTGTCCGAGTCATATGCGCGTTGGCAAACATTGTACTCAGAACAATCATTCATATACCGGACTTCCTAGACAGCGTATCGACGTTGACAAGGGACTCGAACTACATACACGTTGCGACACCCGGTAGTACTCTAAACGGGATAGATCGATCAAAGCTACTACGAGACAAACATATCATGGTGCAAGATGTCCAGCCCGAGAATGAAGTTGGAAGACTCGCCTTAAGCGATTCTCTACGTTCAATCTCGGTTCAGCAAGATCGAATATATATCTAGAGTCTAGTGTTCTACTAGTTATTATGGCAAGGAATCCAGGTTATCTGAAATAACTAGAAATATCATTTTTGTCTATGAAATTGCTATGGTAGTTATTTAAAAGAGATTAAAAAAGTTTCCTTAGCGCTAAAACTCTAAAATTCTATTTTTGTAAACAGAACGTTAGAAGAAAAGTAATTTTAATCCTAGAATGGTCTTGAAGATCTAGAAGTTGTTGAAGTCTTAGAGAGAGAGATCTAACATCTTAATATTGTAGATTCCTGAGTATTCTAACGAAAACTCACTGCGCTACCCCTCCGAGTTTGCTGCGTAGGGCCGAATAGTAATATTGCTCGGCCGATGACGCACGTCATTACCTAGATAACAGAAGCAGTGGTGCAGACGGATTGGATCGGCAAAACCCAGGCTGGACTAGGGTTGTGGATGTCCGGCTAAACGGCCAGGATGATAGATACCGTACCTGCCTAACTAGGCTAGAATCCCGGACTGCATACAGCAAAAGCGTACTTGGCGGCGGCATTAAGCTCGCACAAGCTCTCAGAGTCGTATGCTTGTGTACGAGTCACGCGGGGTCGTTCGTGAATGCTGGCTTTTCGTTTTCTTCCAAGTTTCTGTTTTGGGCACTTATTGATCTTTACTACTTTGATTGTGATTCTTGATTAAAGCGCTACACATGCACGACTAATCGCCCGGCAGCGGTTGCTGCACCTTTTCTGGCCGCTGGTCGATCTAACCAAAATCGACCCCACAGATTGGGTCAATAAATCATGTCAACCATAGTTTGGACCGCCTAAAGAGCTAATAATCCTGGCTACTAGTACAAAGATAAGCAGACATTTAACCAATATGAGAAGGTAGGAGCGATACCATGTGCATAAAGCGAAACTAGGTTAGAATCATTACCCTGATACATATATACTGTCGCTCTACGCTGTTTTGCGCTCCACCGAGTTGTTTCCTTTTACTCAGGTGCATCGACTGCGGCAAGACTTTCGGAAATATTCACGGGGTATGATAGTTTGTGATTTTGGTCTTTCATTTACACGCTAACATGTAGTGACCACAGCCATCTGCATCGAGGAAACCTCATAATGAAGAGGGCGGGTAAGCTGTGGGCCGCGCCTTTATTGGCAGCGGGTGCGCTTGGGCAATTTGTGTCTGCGCCTACAGATCTCATAACCAAGGAGGGCTATGCAAATGTCAGTGTGCGCTACAAGCAGGTACCGGCTGGTATCTGTGAGATGAACCCGCATGTGAAAAGCTATTCCGGGTACGCAGATGTCGGGGAAAACCAACACATCTTCTGGTGGTTCTTCGAGTCGCGTAATCAAGATCCGAAAGAAGCCCCTTTGACAGTAAGTATTTTTATTCTATTAAAATCGCACGCCAGGGTCTGGTTTAACTTTTCTGATTGCAGATCTGGATCAATGGAGGGCCCGGATCGAGTTCCATGATTGGGCTGTTCCAGGAGTTGGGACCGTGTGGCGTTGGACCGGATCTGAAACCCTATGACAACCCATACTCGTGGTCGAACGCTAGTAATATGCTTTTTATCGATGAGCCTACGCAAGTCGGTCTTTCATACTCGATTCCAATCCCAGGCTACAACGACGGTTCCTACATAATTGAACTCCCAAACGCGACATGTCCAAGCTATGCTGCAACATATGGAACATGCGGAACTTATTCGAAACCAGACGTTAGCTTGACGGCCAACACTACCCAAGGGGCGGCGCCAAACATGTGGAAGACACTGCAGGGCTTCATGGGAGCATTCCCCGAATACTCGCGCCACGGCGTCAACTTTGCGACGGAGAGCTATGGCGGACACTATGCGCCCGTGTTCAACGCTTACTTCTTGGACCAGAACGCGAAAAAAATTCCTGGTGCGCACAAGATTGAGCTGGAGAATGTTTTGATTGGCAATGGGTGGTTTGACCCGCTTGTTCAGTACCAGGCTTATTACAACTATAGCGTGTATCCTGGCAATACGTACGACTTTGATCCGTATAATCAGACGGTGAAGGACGAATGGTTCAACAATTTGTACGGCCCAGGCAACTGCGTTGACCGAATCAAGCAGTGCTACGAGAATGGTAGCAACTCGGTGTGCGCGACGGCGGATCAGTTCTGTGCTTCCAAAGTGGAGAACATGTACGACATCTACAGCGGACGGGACGAATACGACATGCGGGAGTTGACGCCGGATCCGTTTCCGTACTCGTATTTTGAGAGCTACCTCAACTTGCCTGAGGTGCAGAAGGCAATTGGAGCCTTCCAGAACTTCTCAACAAGCTCTAGCACAGTTAGTTCATCTTTTGGCAACACGGGCGACGACGGTCGCGAGTCGGGCACGATTGAGGCGTGCCAGAAGCTGCTTGCTGCAGGCGTTCAAGTTATGCTCTACTATGGAGACGCGTAAGTTTGGACAGTGCCATGATTGAAATATTTGGGATAGAATTAGCTAATGTTTTGAGCAGCGACTACAACTGCAACTGGCTGGGTGGTCAAGTCGTGGCGGACCAAATCAAGGCCAAGGGGTACTCGAAAGCCGGCTTTACAAACATTAGCAGCAGCGACGGCATTGTGCATGGGCAGGTCAAGCAGTCTGGCCTCTTCTCGTTTGTACGCATCTACGAATCGGGCCACGAGGTCCCCTTTTACCAGCCACTCGTGTCGCTCGAAATGTTTGAGCGCGCACTAAAGCGGGTCGATGTTGCAACGGGCAAGAAGAAGCTCAGTCACGACTACATGACAGTGGGCACCCCGACGAGCACCTACAGGGAAGGAAACGCGACCATCCAGATGAATGTGACTCCAGCCAACGCGACGTACAACACGACGCTAAATGCACCCAACCCGAGCCTGGGCAGGCGGGACATGGCCAAGCACTTCTGGCGGCCAAGGGCGGGTCGGGCTGGACAGCGAATTCTTTGAAGGTAGAAGGGGAGGTAAGGCGAGTATAGGATACAATAGGCAGATATCAGATGTCATGGCCTTGTGGTTGAATGAACTAGCAATCAAGTCCAACGTCATAAGAGCCTTTATTTTCTCGTGGCGCGTGAAGATAATATGTATTAACGATGGATGATCCTCTGCTAGCGGGTGGCGCATGAATCTTAGGAAACGTTTGGGGTCAGCAGTTAACAAACAACACACAGCTCACTTTTCCTACAACTTCACACTGCCCTGCTCTTGCGCCTGAGCAGACCCGTGCCTGGTCGCCTTGCTAGTCGCTTCCATCAACCCCCGCCGCACCTATTTTTCCCTCCGCTAGCCCCCTTATAGTAATTTCTATCTCTTCGTAGGAGAATAAACAGTATGATGATACACTTGCTCTTCAAATCTCTAGCGCTCTGTATATAATACTATGCACACTACAACTCTGATCAGAATTTAGACAAATACTATGCTATATATTGAGATAGCTAAACTTAGAAGGGATAAGAGGGCTCATCTTCGCAATAGCCATGTTAGCCTTCCTGTGCGTTCATCATACGATTTCTAAGTTCAGCTTTAGTCTTATTCTTTTTAGGAAGATTATGTAGCGGATCCTGGGGTTCTACACGATCTCTTTTCCTGAACTTCCACGCCCACTCGTTGCCAAGGTTCAATTTTAGGACATCGTCACATTTTTTCTTCAAGCATTCCCTATCTGATTCTTTTATGGCGAACGTATTCAGCTTCACTATGCGCTTAGTTATCAGATTCTTCTCTGACTCGAGGCACGTTCCATGGAACCATCCATGTTGTCGTTCCTTGATGCAGCTTTTAGTAGAGTCTTTTTTGAAAAGTTCTGAGTGCAACTTACGGTGCTATTACTTTCTGGTATGAAACAGGAAACAACTTCCCACTTATCTGGGCCACGCTCCAGCCATTCTTTAACCAACCGATGCATCGCGTAGTCTCAAAAGTTTGCAGGCTGTAAAAGAATTTTCTTTTTGATGTCTTGAAGCCAAATCTTCTCATCGCGATGTTCCAGAGCATTGTAAACCCGTTCCTCGGGTATCTAGGAACGGATACTGTCTCGAACCTTGTGAAAGCAGACGACCATCATCGCCCTCAAGGACTTATCTTTGCTCCATTCATCAATCATACCGCCCCTTCGAAATAGCATCACAAACCAGGTTCCTATTGACTGCACTTATTCAGGGAATGCTTCGCGAACGTCAGCCTGTTCGATGAGCCGAAAGAGATTTTCGTGAGTATACCCATGCATTCGATCGATATGAAAACCCTGAAGATCCTCGCAGAGAGCTTCCAAAGACATGCATAGGATCTGGATGTGGGGTTCGCTAACATCAAGCCATATGGTAACTTTATGCCGACCGCGTCGCGATTCGAAGAAATCTGCAAAACCGTATCTGTCGTACAACTGCTGCCCGTGTGTTCCTAGTGTGTTTGACAAATTTTACAGACAATCTTTTCGGGGAGATCAAGTTCCTCAAACCCTACGCCGTCGTAGCGTTTACTTCGCTTTTTGTGGATCTCATCTATGATCATGTCGTCTTCGGCACTTTCGATTAGATGTTGACTCATCATCTCGTAACGCCAGGTGATGATTTTATGAGTGTCTACTACGAAGAGGGTATGATACCGCTTCTCGACCTGGATCTCGAGACTGAACAGGCGTGGTATTTCTAGCGGTAGATCAACGTATCGTTCGATCATATCAAGATTAAGCCCATCGCCAATCGAAGAGAAACTCTCAACGCACATTAAGTGTGCATTGACTATCAATATCTCATCTTGGTACAAGGCCTTATTCAATCTCTCAACCTGTCTTCGAATCTTGACTGAGGTATCTTCTGTCAATTCTCCAAAAAAATTTCAAGTTGCCATTGGTTGACATACTGCTCAAACTCGCGGAGCAAAAGATCGAGGCCCCCTAAACGATTTTGCACATTTTGCGAAACTTTAGCTTTTACCAAATGGTTCTGGGACATTTCTGACAGCGATGTATCGTTCCGAAAGATGGGAAGCTGGAGAAGACGCTCGCTGATAATCTCTTGGACATCATCAATGTTGAACACTAGGTCTCTGTTATTTGGTCCAGGCGCAAGCTAGATTTCAGTCACCCCTTTCTCATCTGGGGAAGTCTGAGTGATATGAGGGAAGGTGGTCACGAGTAACCGAATTCGTAGACCAGCCTTCGATCGGCGCTCTGTTTGTTGGCTTTTCAGGGCTGCGACAACCGATGAGAGCGATGAGCTATCAGTCGGGCTCTGCACTCTATCTACCACCATAAAAAACGATGTTCCATCATTGGATTCATAGTTACCAACGAGATTCTACCAGACATGTTCCACGGTATCGATTGTCACCTTGCTTTAATGAGCTTCGACTAGGAAATTTCGATAGGCATTGTTTGCTTGGGCAAGCTGCCAAATCATCGATCGAAGTTCCCCGTTCAAAGTCGATTTATCGATTTTACTAGACGGCAACCTTGGTAGTTGATGAAATGCCACAAACGCTTTTGAGGGATTTGCTACGTCTGTCGTTGTCTCCTGGAGGTGCTCGACCACGGCTGAGGCTAGGAATGTCTTTCCGCAACCTGGCTCACCAATCATCAATATCATTGGTGGAATGCTTTTCTCAATGTCACTCCAACTAAAAAAAGCTTCGGTTTCTGAAAACAACCAGTGGCCAGTATTCTCCACGCGCTCTTCGGCGCTCCGAGCATAGCGGCGCCGTACTAAGTCGACAGGATCGAGGTTCAGCCAGGAGCGTATACGAGAAAGATTCGCTTTTGCTTCCTAGTTTTCTTCTAGTTTCTTGAGCCTGTGTTTGGCGTCTTCGTCATGTCTTGGAATGAGATCTAAGTCGGTCTTTATAGTGCGGGTATCTTGTGCAGCTTTAGAAAGATTCTTCCTGATGATTGAAACTTATATGCGGACAACATCTGATACCTGCATCTTGAGTATGGCCAAGGCCTCTGTTACTCCGCTCTTATCGCCAAGTAGTGGTGTCTTTGCGAAAGCCTTAAACTTGAACTTTAGGGATTTGAATTGAACTGTGAGGGTCATAACGGCCATGAAATGCACAAAAATACGATAGACGCCTGGCCTTATTCGCTCATCCAGCGCAACATCTCTGTCGTCTCAGTCTTTAAGCTAGATATTGAGTTGTCAGAGGAGTATAGATACTCGTTCTAAAAGTAGGATAAGTCTTCAAAAATCCTCCTGCAGCCTTGCACGGCGATAATAACAAAGTTAAGAGTGTTAAAGCATTGCTCACTTAACCCAATGAAAATTCTTGCAAGAGGAGATATGTATAATCTTCCTAAGTTTTCAAACGCAACTTAATGCATCACAGACAAACTCTTTTGCTCTTGTTTTCGTTATAAATTCAGTCTCCTTCAGATCGATATTCCTAATAAAGTCTTCAATTAATGGTTCTTTTCCTTAGCCCAGTTCAGATTTACCTACTTGTCAAATTCCTTTACCACTAGCCGCCATATCTTTTCGAGATGATTGTCGGTGAATAGAGTACGACTCGGAGACATAATTAGTCTAGGATTTAATTAGAGACAATATCACTCGTAGAGACTACTATAATGTCGAATGCTAGAAAGATAGTGATAAGGTGCGGGCTTTGCTGTGTAGTGTATTAAAATGTAGACTTGCGAAGTAGGAAAACTATGGCATTCTAGTATTATTATTATTATTATTATTATTCCATTATAGTCCTGTATCAGCCGTTGGCTATGTAGGACTTTGGCCAAAGGCCGTTCTATCTAACTAGTTACAATTTGGTACGTTGTGCTGTATTGCGTGACTATGGTGCTTCGGCCTTTGTCTAGTTAAGCTAGTACTAGCTTTCTAGACGCCTGGTGCTAAAGAGCAGTTTGGTAACAGGGAGAGATATAGAGCAGCTAGGCTGCCTTCTAGCGAGCTCTCTTAGGGGATAGGAAATAGTGCTAGTAAAATCAAATTCGTTGTTCTTTGTTTTTCTTCTTTTCTTCTTATTTTTCTTATTTTTCTTCTTTCTAGCCTTCTTGGCCTAGATGCCACTTTCTTGTTCCTATCTTCGTGCTAGTAATAAAAGCTAGAGTAGCTTCTATACCGCTCGTAGTGTGGAGTAAGAGTGGGAGTTTAAGTACTTTCTGGCCTAGAGTCTTTTTAAGTTGGTTTCTCTCTGCGCTATAGAAACCGCAGTATAGAAGTAGGTGCTCTGCTGTTTGTGGTCTTCCGCATTTACAGAGTTCTGTTTCTCTTCTTTTTACTCTCTTTAGATAAGCATTGAAGTATCCGTGCCCTATCTTAAGAGAATAGAAAGAGCTTGAAATCTCTCTTTTGGTGCCTCTTGGGATTACTAGTTGGTTTTTCAGCTTAAGGTTAAAGATAGCTCCGTAGCTAGTCTTCTTTTCTCTTGCTTTCTCCCTATACTTTCTCCACTCTTCTGCCTGGCTAGCTCTTTGGAGGAGCTGATC